TTCTATGGGCAACACGTACTGGGACTAGATGCGGAAATATACTGGACGTCAATTTGTTGTAGTAATTCATTGCTGAAGTTCCGCATTCCAAGTTGTCCAATGCAAAACCATCCAGCACCGGAAAGGTAAACACAGTCTTGGGTCGGGTGAAGGATGCCGGAAACATGGCCATCTCGAATAATTGCTTATCAGGTGTGCAAGCATTCGGACATTGACAAAACCTTATCATGATAGAATGGACTCCGGACTTGTCAACAACTGTGATGCATTGCTTGTGGTTCAAGAATGATGGCTCGAGTATGGTAGGGAAGTCCTCTGCCGGTTGATATATGGGCCTGTCGGTGTCCTCCCATTCATGGATATCCCCAAGTGCTGGACAAGGCATTCCCTGATGCCCAAGATAAATGTCCATACCTATCTTGGTCAGAGACGTTTCCTCGAAAAATCCTCCATTCCATTTGCCTATCTTATGGAAAGGCAGTCTCCAGTGCTCATCTCTGCAGCACTTCAGACAAAATACCGGGTTGCCGAGGCAGTCATAGCACCTATATGCAGGGAACTCAGAGCCGCATGCACAGCATTTTTTGTCTTCAGGTGGAGCCTCTCGTTCATGAAGGATTCTGAGATAATTGTTTGTCCGAAATTTCCACTTCTGGAGATAATCATTTGGGCTCTGGGACATCACTCAGCACGGAACCCATGGCGTAAATTTTGTAATGCACCTTTGTCTTCTTTCTCCCTGACAGTATGTTGAGGGCACCAATTGGTACCTTATCGCCAAAGTCCTCATGGTCAGCATTGAAATCGGTGGACCATTGATACCATGCACAATCGGAATTATGTTTTTTGGGAGACTTTGCTGGAGAGGACTGCATGGATGGACTGGGTTTGACTGGGCACCATTTCCCTTTCAAGCCACAAGTGGTCTCCTTTGTTTTTCATGTCACCCATTGCGCTGTTCCCCACGGAGCCAATGTCCTTACCCTAGACTTGCCCATGTAGTTACTGAGAACTTATGTGAATTTGAGGACAGTCAAAACATATATTCACATTCATGGCTCGCTTAATAGCCGAGGCCAAGCACAAATAAGGTAAAGGTTAATATTTTAAACACGACCCATTCAATTTGTACCTTGTCCTTCGATAATGTCAGACCACAACTCAGCCTCTGATTCAGAGTCCAACAAACAACCTCCAGCAAATGAAGAAGAGGTTGCTGGGATTGTAGTGAATAGAATGCTGACATGGGTCAACATGTGCTACCGTTGATAGGTCAAACGCACATACCTCCACTGCTGTGGCAATCATTGAATCTAGACCCCAATCACGAGGCTGAAATATTTGTATAGTTAGTTCTACAGAGCACTGAGCCAGAGCTGTAAGTCACTGACCTTAGTTTCGCTGTCCCAGAAAATATCATCAGAGGCCTTGTCAATCGCGTCCTGAGCTTCCGGGTCTGATACCTTTTCAGATTCTGCCGCCGATGATGTGTCCTTGGGCAATGTCAGTGACCAGCTTGCATCGGTGATTGATGAGAAACGGTTGCTAGACCTACATTTGTAGTTCCATTCTTAGTTATACGGAGTTGATCTTGTGCATCATGAGACAATAACTTCTTCATTCTTTTCAGATTCTGCTTGAGAGATCTAAATGGGGAACTGGGAGCATCCGCCAAATCGGTATCATCTTCTTCAGCCTTTCTCTTCTTGTCATTCATAGGGTGTGGAGTAAGCTTGACCCTGTTTGACATATTGCCTGGCACGAAGAGCTTGTACTTCATTGTGGCAGGGGTAGCAGAAGCGACTGATGGAGCAAGAGGAGTCAGCAGTTCTAGCTGCAGAGAGGCCGGCAATGGGGACAGTGGCATGAAGTTTGCTGGAAGTGTGGGAGCTTGTGTTATTAAAGGACAGATAGCCGCAGGAACAGTGAGAGGTTTAATGATAGACAATGACCCAGTAGCTTGATCCTCCAAAACAGGAAGAGTTCCAACTGCAGCGAGAGGACGGTAGTTCAACATCTTGTGGAAGTGCGGGTGGCTCTTGATGCATGGATCATCATCGACCACAGAGTTCCAGTTGGGCAAACTTTCAAAGGCTCCACCCTTGGAATATTGATGCACAATGGCTGCACAGGACAAGAGCTGGGGGGAGAATGATGTTGCATTTCCTCCATAAAGCCTCAAGTCTTTTGCCTGTGCCAAGTTGAACAATCAAATCAATGTAAACGAAAGTAGACTTACAATGCGTCTAGCAATCTCATCCGATAGCTTCAGGGCTTCTGGATCTTCCTGTTTCAAGTGGATACAATGCCTGATGAGCAATTGCAAAGTCGCAAGTGTGGTGTTGAGCGCGTCATTTGCTACATCGGTGTAGGGATTCATTTCTGGCTGGGCTGGTAGAGACTGTTTTTACCTTACCTTATGTTGGCACTTTTGTAGCTTACATAAGCAATCAATCTTTTCACCAGTTACCAGTATGAGTCTGAGTGCTGAGCAAGTTTCTATGATATTTCCTCTCCTCTGAGCCTTAAGCCTAGTCCAGAAACCCTTTAGGGTCGAATAGCAGCTAGGTTCTGCAAGACCCAACATTGTTCAGACTCACCATCTGAATTGTTGTACCTTCATCGGTCCTCATAGCGGTGTTAAAAACAAACAAGTTTGTGTAATGCAGCTATATGCCAAGGAAAGAAAGGTGACACTAAGAATTTGCACAAGTATCGGAATTTATACAAAGATCATCGGTTGTGGATGTTTCCAAGGAAGTACTTTGTGAAAGCACGGTAATGTAGACTTGGTATAATTACATTATGACGTAATACCATGCCTGTCGCTACCATTGTCCGATGTATTTGGTTGCTACGCCTGTAATCCAGCTATTGACAAATCAACACCTTGGATTGAACTATCATAGTCAAATAGGTCTGTTTGTGCTACCCTCCTGCATGAGGGTGTGGATGATACTGCCTTCAGTTTCTCTGCCAATGGTAATTGTGCCCAGCAAATCCGAGGCAGCAGCATGCCATTCACAGAACAAAGGATGGAATTGAGTGGTGAGATGTGTTTGTTCAATTATCATTACAAACTCCTCCGAAGTGGGGACAGAAACTGGATCCGGAGTGAAATGTAAGGATGTGAAATGCACCAAGGAACATTATTGAAGCTAGAAAATGAGCATACAGAAGTTCTCGAGTGTAGCAGTGATTGCTTGGCGAAAGTTTGTAACATCCGGCACAACATGCATTAGGAATTCAGCTTGGTCCCAGATATATTTGACAGAATAATTTCATCAAGACCTTTAGCATGGTGTCCGGTAGCCATTGCATTTAGCGCCAGCCCCTAAGATCCACCTGCAATGATCCATATGCTGCGGGCCTTGTCATGATGCATCACCAAACGGCGATTGAACCCGGACATCCACGGTGTCTGAGATCATCTGAAACATCTGCGCAGCTGCATTGGCACCATACCTACTGGTCAGTTCATGCAAGATATTATATGGACAGGACATCTGATCCGACCACATACAAGACGACCAACCAGCTACATTCCCATTGGGCAGGAGGTGCCATAACTGACATCAAACCTTCCGGAAGCGCTTCCTCTGTGTCGGATATGGGCGATTCCATGATAGTTCACACATTCTCTAACATATTCTGAGCACATTCGTGGATTGAAGTTTCCTTTTGATCACCGAGATCACCTGTGTACATTTTTTACTAAGCAAATTTAATCTGCCTTATCTACCAAAATTGTAATGAAAGTTAGGCAAAATGTGATGTCACAGTGGAATGCAAATCAAGGGATGAACATGTTGTGCAGTCAAGATCTACTCCTGTGTTCTGACAGGTTACGTGCTAGACAATGGGGAAGATGCAATAGAAGGCTCATGTATATAAGGAGGATCCGGGGAATATGTCGGCCGCCAACTAGATGTCGAGGCCTGGGCGTTGCCTTGCATACCCGTCGTAAGAGACTGGTCCCATGCATGGGTGTACTCCCTGCCTATAGTGGAGATTCCAGGATGTTCATCGCTGGCATGATTATGTGTCAGCCATGATATGATGGTTGGTTCTGGCAGGTGCCGGGGTGCATGTGCACTACCATCGGCGCAAGGAAAATGTGCACCCGTAAGGACATTGAATGATTACCGATTGATTGTGACAACGACTCCTGATGCGCAATGGATACAGCGAACCGTTCCTCCAGCGCCGTCAGCCTCAGGCTAATCTTCCGCTCTACCGAATCTACCCTCACATCCAAAGTATCCATCCGCTCATTGGTTGCCAGGAGATCAAATCTCCTGCCAAGGTCATGGATGCTTTGCAATATGGCTCTTGCAGTGGGTTCAGGCTCTGAGGGGGTGGCTGGCATGGATGAAACGATCGGTGCTAGCATGTCGACCGGTGGGAGTTCCAGAGATCTGAATGCTTGTAAATTCGGTGGCGCCTGCAAGTTTGCACCATCCGGCATCAAGTTCATCCATCCTTGCCCGACCTCTGAGTATGTTGTCAAAATACACGGTGAGCAAGTCCGAAGGATATGATGAATGTGCTTACCAATCGGAGGATTGTCCGGCAGACCTTTCTGTAGGACAAGGGAGGATGAACATTTGGACAGTTTGGTTCTCTTCACAGGAGCCGATGCGACAGGTGCTGTGACAGCCGCGCATGACTTGGGTGCATGCGTCCTAGAACGTTTGAGTGGTGCGTTGCCACTGGTGTTCTTCGCAGCTCCCTGTGCCTTTGCTTGTAGCCTTTGCCGGACACCGGCACCGTCGATCACACAGGTAATCTTCATCTCATCGCAGTTTGCACAAGCGAGTCTTGTAAACCCGAACTTCTTATCAGGCAACACAATGCATGGCACATCCATTTTGATGCATTTGTCACATCTGCGGGGATGGTAGCGAATGGAATGCTGGAATATGTGAGGGCATATTACTCAAATGTGATAGTCTGCTTACCTCTACTGCAGTAGCAACTGTAGCATCTAGGCCCCATCCGGCAGGCTAGATGAACCCAAATAAGACGGTAACCCCATCTACATGAACAACTTACCCTGGTTTCTGCATCCCAAAAACCTCTGTCGTCCACAAAGTCGGATGGAGGCATGTCCGTTTGATTGACAGCATGACTGGCCTTCACCGACGACCCCCTCTGCTGCAAAAATACACATTAGCAACATACAGAGAAATGCTCTCAGAGTCACCTTAACATGAATGGTACCGGTGGCATTCGTCTCCTCTTCATCCGACTCAAACTTCCTCTTTCGTTTCAGGACTAGTTTCCAGGATGCTCGGCAGGGTTTGGGTTCGCTGTCATCCATTTTCCTTTTCTGTGGGTTACTGGTAGGTGAGACGATCTGCTGTGCTGTTCTGATATCCCCCTTGTTTTGTCCGACAGTCATGGGAGGTATTGAAACTGGTGGTGGCAGTTCTGGTATGACCATGGGCGTTATGGTACTTCGGACGCCTGACATCATGGGTTCCACACCTGGTGCAGCGGGGGATGGCGGCTCAGATGTCATCAGTTGCATCTCCGGGACAACATGGAGCGGTTTCACCTCTGGGACGACAAGGAGCGGTTTCACCTCCGGGACAACATGGAGCGATTGAATGAGCTGTGGGGCCATTGATGTGACAAGCTGTTGAGGCGTAGAGGCTTCCATGACGGTCCCTATCATTGAATGAGGCTCCAGCAGGACAGCGGATGACGGCATGCTGGATTCTGGTTCTGTGTCGGGATACACAAGAGAGGAACAATAGCCTACAGTCTTATGGAACAGCGGGTGCGTCTTGATGCGTGGGTCATTGTCCATCATGGAGTTCCAGTCGGGCAATGATACAAATCTCCCGGCTTTTGAATGCTGCCATACTACAGCTGCAAATGACAGCAGCTGAGGGGAGAACAATGTGGTGTTTCCCCCATAAAGCTTCAAATCTTTAGCCTGCGACAAATTGAGTTGTTTGTCTAAAAAAAATACAGTGACAGTTGTAGGCAGCGAGGCTTACCACCTGTTTAGCGATCTCATCTGAGATTATCAACACAGCTGGGTCACTTTCCTTTAATTTCATACAACGCTTCATCAGCAGTTGTACAACCTCAAGCGTGGTGTCAAAGGCTTTGTTTGCAATTTCCGAAGGTGTCATTCTCAGTATATACAAACTGCAGTGAGTAACTGATGATGGTATATGACAAGAAAGATGGGTCCAATGATTTTTTTATCAAGTCTCAGGACTTATACCGATACATCGGTCATGAGTTTTTCCGAGAACACATTTTGGCAAGGCTCAATGTGGTCGGGTCAATATAATTATGACATAATACAACTTCTTCAGCGATCATTATCCCACGCATTTGGTTGCCACGGCTGGGTTGTCCAAATATGGAAGCATATTATTTGCATGGTAAGCCTTCCCCGACTTCCTTATTTCAAACGAAACATTCATGGTAGACAAACATGTTTGTTTTTACAAAGACCACATGTTCGGATTCCGATGACTCGGTGCAAATGCTTCATATAGGCTTCTTAATTGCCATAGTAGCTATGATTGTTCTCTGACTCCAACAGTTCCGACACAGATTGAGTCTTCGGATACAGCTCAATGCCAATGGGAATGGTCACCATGCTCGGTGGCGTGGATAAGTGCCATCATGATCTTATGCATTCCACCCAAGTCAGTACTGCCAAGATTGAACGGTAAGTCGGCCTGTGACTCTTCAAATCCGGGCATGGTAGGAACTCCCACGCAGGATATAAATCGGCAGAGCTGTGTTCTGCCTTCAGTATTGTTGAAGATATCTTTTCCCTTGACATGGTTCATGGACATGACATTACAGCAATGGCTGCTTCACTAGCTAACAGATATGCAAATTCTGAATCATTTTCTGACATTGATATTTCAGAGGAGAGCTTAGTAGGACCGTTTAGCCGTACAAATGAAGATTCACAGCCAGATGCATAATGAATCAGACCTTCGAGCATGACCCACTTCCAGCACCCGCATGTATGGTGAACCGGTGCTGTTTGGTTCATATGCGGAACGGTGGGACAGGGTACGGAACATATGTGTGGATGTGCTTCAAATATACCATTTGCTGGGCATTCAGCGCCGCATAATGGAACCTCTGGATGCCATGATCGCAAATTTTCAGGAGGGTCATCAGCAAGAGTAAGAAGACAATGCTGAATTTTAGGAATAGTGCGGAAGTGGATTGTTAATTCATATTAAGAATGGCCTAGTAGCACTCAGATTTATAGGGGCCTCCAATGGCATATCAATGTTTGTCCAGCTCACACATGTTGAGTCGCCAATCAGCCTGCCACGGATATGTTCGAGGCGCAGTTATGGAAGGTATAATGTGTGCTACCTAAATAATCCACCGGACTCTACCGATCAGCTTCCATAGGACTAACACAGAGGCAATAAGAGCTAGCTGTTTCCGGGAATACATCACGCAGTGCTGTTACATGGATTACAGCGGGCATTATCACGGAAGAAATGCAGATAACACTTAGTATGGGCATCAGAAAAATGGGGACACACCCAACAGAGATTTTAATTATAAAGTTGGCTATTTGCAAATGCCGGATAAAATTGCAAAGTAGAATATATGAATTTACCAGTCCGGCTGCAACTCATCATGGGAGAGCTTTGACATTGATTACAACATTGGAATATAGACTCAACACACTGTACCTCCTGAGCAAGCTAACCAAGCCTTGAACATCACATTAGCCACCTTGCAATCACTTATGAAGCATTGCATCAAGGTAAAGGAGGGCGATCCCGAAGCCTTGAGGTTATCGGATGAGATCGCCAGGCGTGTGGTAAGTGTTTCTAATATTGCTCTTAAAATTGTCTTCGCGAAACTAATACATTTGACACAGGCCAAGGACTTGAAAATGTATGGCAGGAGCACCACCTCATTCTCGCCGCAGCTGCTTTCCTTTGCTGCTGTGGTGAGAGAGAACTCAAAGGGTGGCGCCTTCGAGAGTGTCCCAGACTGGACCTCCATTACAGATGATGACCCGCGCATCAAGATCCACCCGCGCTTCGACAAGACTGTAGATTATCTCTCTCCTTCACTCGACAATCTTTCCACTAATCCAGCAATGGCTGATCCCCCTACCACCCTCACAACACCAACGACCATCACACTGCCATCGGCCTCAACATCCATGCCATCCCTCATGGAGTCCGATGTCCTTGTTGAGCCAGAAGCGGAAATGAACAGATCATCGGGCCTTCAGAAGGGAGAGGTCGAGGACCATCCCATCCCCATTGACACTCCCACATCTCCGCCGGCAAAATACAATCTCTTCGTACCAGGCACCAAGAAGAGAAAGCCTGCTGCAGAAGATATGGATGAGGCCTTTGTGGTTCCCACCAACAAATCGCCTTCCCCTTCTGAAGAGCCGGTGAAGAAAAAGAAGAAGGTTGAGTCCCAACCCATTGCCAGGCCTGCAGTGTGGGGCTTGGATGCTGATATTGCTACTCCATGGATTATTAGTTAGGGTTAGTTAGTTAGGGGGTAAAAACGCTGGTGGGCGCACAAGTAACTGAAGAGATAAACTAGAAAAAATACCCCCGGCTACTAGGTAGTCTGAGGTGGTATTTCGAGTATGGTACTCTCATCAGTTTTCTAGCTGGTTAAATAGGAGGGGACACACATATTCGAGAGGAGTATGTGTCTGAGTACGAAGGTTTATCGAAGATAAGAAGTATCGTATCATGTCTAATAATGTTATCAACGTTAATAAGCCTAAAAGTATTTTTAGTGCCGCAGCAGGTGGCCGAAGGCCGCCATTAAAAATCTCTCACAGATGTCAAACTCTATAAAAAGGTAAACAGGCGTACACAATCTACAATGAGTAAGAGGCAAAAATAGTTTGATCCGAGTCTGGACCGAAGGTCTAGACCTATTACGTAATAGAAGTTCCATAAACAAATATCGGAACGACAACCGGTCACGTGACATCTGTCACAAGGACCTGATTACGAATAGAAGAACTATTAATAACGTTACGTATTTTTAAACAACGGTTAGTTAGACCGTAAGGCGGTTAGGCTAGTTAGGGTTAGGGCTTAGGAAGTTAGGTTAAGTTAGTTAGGCTTAGGGGGGCTTCCTTGAAAAAGCCATGTACGGGAACCGATCAGTTCCGTACAGCCATCTCTGGCTCCTAGCGTCATATCGTAAAAATGACCGCATACGTATAAAGACAACATTAAAAGTGTCCGAAGCATTAAAATTAGATAAAGAATATATATAGATTTCTACCCGCGCCGCTTTTCCGGCGCTAAGCTTTATAGGAAGTCACCACACATCGGGAGCCGTTACCTCCACTATGCACAGTGCCCGCCAGCACAAGTTGCGTAAACATACGCGCATGACTGAACCCAGTAGGAGTAGCTCCCTTCTGGTCGATGTCAATTCACCACTTAGCCCGCCATCCTTTGCATTAAAGCAAGGCAAATCTCCCGGAGGAAACCCGCCGGACGGAGAGGACTTTCGAACTTAGCTTCACCCTCGTTCGTATGGTTGCGTTACCTGCACTTAGGGACCCTCCGTAGGGCTTCGCTGTGGCGCGCACGCTAAGTGTATATCTATATTTCAACAGGAGGAATAAAATCGTCCTGTTCTAATGCTATTTTGAGGAGGGAATTTCTCCAGAGTGATGCTAGATCGGCAAAATTTTGTGTTCTTTTGCGCGATACAAGCCACCTTGCATTTCCCATTACATAATTGCCAAGATCTAATATCGCGGCCGACTCGGCTTTAACGCCGCCTACTACACTAACGTCCCTAATCAAAAGTGCTTCCCGTGGGAGGCCCAGATGTTCGAGTACGTCAGGAGCCGGAGCGTGAGCGGGCACGAGCCATTCGGTCAATCTATCTTGGTACACCGGTGTGTTTTGCGTCCCATACACACCGGACACGAAATCGTTCCTATAACGATTTAGCTTATGCATAATGGTATCCTCTAAGCTTTTAATGCTGAACCAATCCCATGCGGTATTAAATTCGGTTTTGACTACAAGAATGGGATCCTCTGATACCGCTCTTGTCAATAGACGTGCTTCCCATTTTTTGGTAGCGTACTGTCTAGACCAGTTATTAATAACCGATGCCGGATAGCCTCGCGATATGTAAACACAGCATAGATCTGAGATCGCGGTCCGGTAGTATTCTATTTTACTGGACAAAGTGGCTAGGCGGCTTAGCTCACCTATGAACGTGCCTTTCTTCACGTCATATGGGTGTGCTGAGTCCCAGGGGATTCGTTCGAAATGGTTTAGTCTCTTACGATAAGGCATGTGTTCTACGTTGTTAGTGAATGGATCACGATACACAAACATGTCTAAAAATACAGCGTGATGCTGAGAGACTTCCCAACCGATTTGGCAGCCTTCTAAAACAAGATTATCGCGCATATAATTATACGCTTCTATTTCTGAATTAGCTTCGACTAATGCGAACACGTCATCTATATACCGTCTATAGAACAGTAATTTGTTAAGATTAGGTACAATGAGCGCTTCATGGAAATGCCCGAATAAGTTTGCAACATCGGGGGAGCACGCTACGCCCATGGCTAAGCCACGGGTTTGTTTGTACGTTTGTTCGCCAAATTGGACGATAAGGTTATTTAAGGCAACTTCTAATGCGAGTTCGAGCATATGGCGTGGAATAGGTTCGGGATCAATAGCGTAATGCTCGTCCCATAGGTCTAAGACCGCCTCGATACCTTTGTCGACAGGAACGTTGGGGTAGAAAGCTACCACATCGCCGGTGACAATATAGAATTTACGTTTGCCTGATATCTCGTTAAATTGATTAAGAAGCTGAGCTAACTGCTTCGACCCGCCAAGAATATATGGAGATGATTCTATTATGGGTTTGAGATATTTTGAGACGAATTTAGCAGCGGGGTTCTGCATTGCAGAATGGCAAGGTACGATCGGCCTAAATTTGGTCGGTACCTTATGTATTTTTGGAATACCGTAAAACTTTGGGAGTTTAACACGCATATGAGCGTCATCCTCAGTTTCGCCTTCCTCCACCCCAACAATAAATTGTTGTAAGAACGCACTTAGCTGCTGGTGCCCTAAAGCATTTGCCGCCAAGTCGCTTAACGCGAGTATGGAAATTCGTTGTCTCGATAGTATGGCTAGACGAGTTGCATCGTCAATTATTTCATAGTCTAGTCTATTACTTAATAGTTGCATACATTGATCCTTGTACCAGTTAACCGTTACGACGCAAGCGCCTAGATTTTTATCCGTTGGAAGAACCAAGCAATTGTGTTCTATCAACCAGCGGTAGATTCGGCCTCGTGGAACTGTGGTTTCAAGTTCGTTGATTTTAGGCGGTATAGCGCTCAGGGTACAATTCCTGACATAGTCGCGACCGGCACTAATGGCGGATTCTATTCCTTGGTAAGGGATCGGATCACAGGGCACACGCTCTTTAATAATCCGATAGTCTGGGTCAAAGGGTCTGTCTTCGTAGTTCCCATGGAAAGCTTTATAAATAAAGCGGAGTTTCCATCTTAGCCTGTCGGCGAAGTCTTCATACGCATCTAACAATAACTTAGAGTTTTGAAGCGTGGGGAACATATATTTATACGATAGACTTAATTCACGAAGAATCGAAGAAGAAGTTTCATCTATTTGGACACCAGGTCCTACATGTACATACGATCGATATCTACTCGCCTCTAGTACGTTAAGAGGCACGAAAGTGTGCAGTATCCGAACAGCGCTATCAGGGTTTAATTCTAAGATAAGATCGGGCCAAGATGATGGGTGATCGTACCTGATAGGTTGCGTGAGGAGCCAGTCTTCTACTTCTCGTTGCCATGCTTCTTTCCCTTTCCGGACGGCTTCCCCTTGGTCTTCTTCTTGCCGGCGTTCTGGGCAGCGGCTTCGGCCTTGGGTTTGTCCTTCTTCTCCTTTCCTTTGCCGCCCTTGGACTTGGCGGCGTTCTAGATGGAGTTGGGTCAGTTGAGTCGATAGAGGGACCGAGGTCCGTACCTTCTTGACCGGCCCCTTGGAAGCGGGGCCAGAAGCATTTTTTAAGGCAGCAGCGACAGCCTTGTCGACAAGAGCCTTAACGCTCTTGTTGGAGGAGGATGGTCCCGCGTTTACAGCGGTTGCGTCACCCATCTCCACGTCTGCCTTGGCTTTCAAGACTTTTTTAGCCGCTTGAGTTGCGGCGTTCCTATCTTCGGCGGCTTGTGCTAACATAACGATGCGCATTCCGATAGATGGCAAGTCTAAAATAAGTCGTCTAACGACTTCTTTCGTCCGGGGGCTTTCACGCCAGGCTACTATTTTAAGTTGCCCGGGTTCGGTGTCCATGTCGACGTCGCCGTCGACCGGGTTTTCACCTTCCCCCGCCTCTGCCCACACCGGTTCGCGTACGTGATCCTTGATCTGAGCGTACCGGGCTTTGACAATGTCCACCAAAGGTGGGACGAAGACCTCGGGTGCCAGCCGAGAGCGCACGGACTGCACCTCATTGTTCTTCAGCGTGATAGCTGTCGTGAGGGCGCCCTTTTTGAAGTCCTTTAGGCCGGTTTTAATGGCCGCCAGTTGTTCGCCTTGCGCAGCAAGGAACTCTTTGCTCGCCTGGAGCTTAGGTTCCTTGGTCCCTTCGATGAAGGGTGGGAAGGTCCCCTTTGCCTCGTGCTCTTGCAACTTCCTCAGAGAGGAGTCAAGAGTGACGGCGCGGCGAGCGTCATCGGCAAGGGTGTTGAGCTTCGTCCGAAGCAACTCCCGATATTCCTGCTCTATGGTCAAGATGACCTCGGAGACAGAATCGACGAAGGACAGGGCCGAAGCCCTTTCCTTGCCGGGATCCGCACTGTTCGTGGCAGCGAACGCGGCGGCGGCAACACCAGGTGAAGTCACTCTGGTGGCCGGGTAACGAGGAATGGGATGGTTCATAGCGTGCGGTAAGAATGGATTGGTTAGGGGGTAAAAACGCTGGTGGGCGCACAAGTAACTGAAGAGATAAACTAGAAAAAATACCCCCGGCTACTAGGTAGTCTGAGGTGGTATTTCGAGTATGGTACTCTCATCAGTTTTCTAGCTGGTTAAATAGGAGGGGACACACATATTCGAGAGGAGTATGTGTCTGAGTACGAAGGTTTATCGAAGATAAGAAGTATCGTATCATGTCTAATAATGTTATCAACGTTAATAAGCCTAAAAGTATTTTTAGTGCCGCAGCAGGTGGCCGAAGGCCGCCATTAAAAATCTCTCACAGATGTCAAACTCTATAAAAAGGTAAACAGGCGTACACAATCTACAATGAGTAAGAGGCAAAAATAGTTTGATCCGAGTCTGGACCGAAGGTCTAGACCTATTACGTAATAGAAGTTCCATAAACAAATATCGGAACGACAACCGGTCACGTGACATCTGTCACAAGGACCTGATTACGAATAGAAGAACTATTAATAACGTTACGTATTTTTAAACAACGGTTAGTTAGACCGTAAGGCGGTTA